TATAGGTTCTTTTAAAAGATTTGACTCAACTCTGGTTGAAATGGTTTTGGGTGAGCAGCTTTTCATCGAAGTACGGCCTTTTTTCAAAAGTGAAATTCATTATGAAAAATCATCAGTTTTGTCCAAATGTTATTTTTTTGGTAAAAAATGTACTGCCTTTTAATTTGGGGGGAGAAAGGAGCAGTTACTGAAAATGGACATACCATTTTTTTATAATGGCTTGGTATTGTTTTCAATTTATATATTCCATCTTTTTTTACACTTTAAAAAAATTTAAATGATCAGCTTCAAATAACTCTGTCATTTTGAAGTTTGCCACAAAAATAGATTTTTTTATTTTTCTGCTCTTGTTCACCTACGTTTGATCTCTGGGTACACTGTGTAGGGGATGGTCTGATATTAATAAGCTAATAAGGGATAAGAGCAGCCTCTGTCCCCAAAAAACAAATGTGTCCAGAGATCAAGCGTAGGTGACCAAGAATGAGCGATAATGGAGTAATCAGTGTTAACTCTTTCAGCTCAGTAAAACACCTTTGAATGGTATTTACGAGGCAGCTGTGGGAGGGGGGGAGGGTTGGTATGTCCATGCCCACACAAACAAGGCTGAGCCACACTGCACATCTGCTCTGGAAAATGGCCCTTCTTCCTCAGAAGATCCGCCTCTGGAGGGCCGGATTTTCAAAGGAGCTCAGCAGGTTTGGGTGCTGAGCCCTTGAAGGATTGGGCCATGTCCCTGGGTGCTGGGCCGAGTGAGATTCGGGCTTTGAGGTTTTGCCATTTTAGAAACCAAGCGAGTCTTTTCTCTCTTGACTCTCGTTCTCTCTGCGGCTCTGAGTGGGGGGAGCTGAGCTCCCTCCCCGGCCAGTATCAAAACCGCAGCTTCCTAAGTTCTGGTTTCTGCTGGGCAAAGCCAGCTAAGGCAGTGGGGCTGCACGGGGGGCCTGTGGACAACAGGCACTCACATTGCACAGGCTCAGAACGTGGCCTTCAACATCTTTATTGCCAGCGAAGGTACCTTGGAAATCCCCGCGCTTAACTTCCAGCACACGGGCTGGGGGTTAGAAACAACCCTCCCTTCACAGGCGGGGGCGTGTTTTACAGGCATCACCGCAGGATGGCGACCGTGGCAGGTGCCTCGTGCTGACGACGGTCCCTGTTCTGCGCGCGGTGTGATTTCCTCCGGTGCGCTCTGTTCACGTCTGGCTGTTTTGCAGATATAGACGAGTGCGGCTTGACCCAGCACAACTGCACCCGGGGGGTGATTTGCATTAACACTGGAGGAGGCTTCCAGTGCGTGAGCCCCGAGTGCCCACGGGCCAGCGGCAACACCAGCTACGTGAAAACATCCCCGTTGTAAGTAGCAAGGAACGGGGGGAGAATCCATCCCCCGGCCACGCCAGAGAAAACAACCCCCAGCTGACAAGCTCTGGTACTGAGCCTTGTGAACAACGGGGTGGGGAACCTTTTTTGGGTCAGAGGCCGCTGACCCACATTAAAATCAGTCGGGGGCCGCACACAAGTGAGAAGCAAAACCAAAGAAACCCTCGCTGGTGTGACCCCGACTTAGAAGGAGAACGATGCTCCCCACATTTCCTTCCCACGCCAGAGCCCCGGCGAGTAGATTTTGTGTGCGCCAGGCACACAGCGGGGCAGCAGGCTGGGCTGGATCACCAGCATGGACTCCCTAATGCTGGGGGGGCCGGATCCAGGCAAGCTGGTGGCGACATTCGGCCCCCAGGCCTGACGTTCCCAACCCCTGAGGTAAAACATGCTGCCTGGAGGAGGTCAGGACTCCCCGGAGAAGGAAAACCCCCTTCCCAGGGTCAGCAGGGAGCTAGTTCAGTCCTTCTTTTGGCTAACTCCAAAACTGGGGGGGTCGTGAAGAGGGGTGCGCCCGTTCTAACAGGGAGGTCCTACGGCCTGTGCTAGACAGGAGAACAGCCGAGATGGCCACCGTGGCCCCTCTGGGCCATATAATCTATGAGCACGGGGCCACCTCGCCTTCTCTCAGTGACATCTTGGCCCCCTTGATGTGAATGGCAAAACTCCCATTTTCATCCCTGGTTTTCACCCTGGGCTTCAGCTGCAGTGCCCTGCCCTCGCATGCTGGAGAGAGAGCTAGGTTTGGCAGGCTGGTCAGCGTGGGTGTGTGTCCACGACAGCCCCAGGGACGGAGCCTGGCTTTCTAGCTTGGGCTCCTGTAAGGTCTGTCTGCGCCGCCCAGACAGACAGACAGACAGACAGACAGACAGACTGCTGCTGGCACAGCATAATCCGGGTGAAGCCTGCGCTACTCGCCAGAGCTCGGTCCCCCCTGGCAGGACAGGTGTAAGCTCGTCTGGCTAGCCTGGGCCCCAGCCAGTACCACGGTGCCCACACAGCTATTTTTAATACGCTAACCCAGGCCCTGCCAGCATGAGCCCAGGCTGGGAGGCCGGCTCCCACCTCTCATGTGGATGCTTCCAGAAAGGCTCATGTGTCTAGCTTGGAAGGCCCGAGTTCAGTCGCCGGTGGGCCAGATTCTGTCCTTAGTTACGGAGGTATCGATCCGATTCCTTTGACTTCAGTGGAGAGACCCCAGACTTATGCCGGTGTCACTGGGAACAGAATTGGGCCCCAGCCGGCTGCTTTTCGGGAATCCACGCCATGGAAGTGCTGCCTCTGATCCCGCGGGCGGTGAGTCTCCCGCGCCCGAGGGGCTCCATTTGGGAATGCTGCTTTTCCACGGGGTTAACTTGGTGACGCGCTGGGCAATCACATGCCAGTCGGTTCTCGGCCTGATCACTAGTGGCGCCCTGGAGACAGGAGAGAGCAGGAAGGCCAGAGCCAGTGAGGTCAGAACGCGCAGGCTCGTCCCACTCCCAGGAGTGCCTTAACCCTCTTCCTTTCTTCCCTTGCTAGCCAATGCGAACGCAACCCCTGCCCGATGGACAGCAGATCCTGCCATCACACCCCAAAGTCCATCTCCTTCCATTACCTTCCCCTCCCTTCCAATCTCGTCACCCCCACCCCTCTCTTCCGCATGGCAACCGCCTCCGCCCCAGGACGGCCAGGGCCCGACAGCCTGCGCTTCGGAATTATTGGGGGCAACAGCCGAGGGCACTTTGTGATGCAGCGCTCGGACCGGCAGACGGGAGAACTGATTCTTGTGCAAAGCCTGAAGGGACCCCAGACCATCGAAGTGGAGGTGGACATGTCAGAGTACCTGGATCGCACCTTCCAGGCAAAGCACGTTTCCAAGATCACAGTCTTCGTGTCTCCTTATGAGTTTTAAGGAAACGTGGTTTCTGCCAGTCACCAAATGCCCAGCCGCAAGGACTGTCCATGCTCAGCCATCGCTTTCTTTCAGTACTGACTCAAACGAAATTCCTTTTTTCGAAATGGCAAAAAGCTGCGGCGCTGCAGCAGCACTAAAAGCCATGACCTTCAAGGCCCAGGACTGAGAGATGAGACAAACCATGTCGCTCTGAGAGTGCCAGGCTGGGGCTTGCAATATTCTCATTTGTTCTCGGGAAGTTTTGCCTTGGGACACTTTTGAATTCGCTTCTCACCATCTTCGGTAGCACAAGCCTCCAGGAACACGTGTCGTAGTAACAGAGATGTCACAATGAAAGCCAGATTATAGCTTATGTAAACCTCCACAGAGTAAATATCCTTCCATCTGAGTGAAGCTTGATCCGTCTGCTCGCCTCTTAGCCACTGTTACACTTACATACATGGAAAGCAGCCAATCAAATGTGAATGAAATCACATGCTCTCCAGCAGTTGCACCTGGCCAGAAATCCAGCCCACCCCGCAGTCAGATTAGCAATGGGCCACACACCTGGTAGTTATCAGACACCATAACAAGCAGCCTCTCCACTGATTTAAAAATGGGCAAGTGTGAAATCTTTGAATTGCAAATGGATGTTGCTTGTGATTCTTTTCTCCACGTCTAATCCCCTTAAAAACAACTCAAAGCATTCACCCTAGTAAAGGGCTGACGTCTGTAGGTGTCAATTAACTAAGGCCATGAACATTGGTTAGGAAACTCGGTGGAATGATTGCTGAATAGGTGTGTGCACAAGCACAGAGGGCTGATAGCACAACCTAGGCTTGGTCCCCAGCGCTGTAAGATTCTCTGCATGGCAACCCAGTGTTGCTGGTATTCCCATCGGGCCAGGCCTTCTTGCTGCTTCTGAACGTGGTCTACCCAAGGGCGTGATTGTGTTCCCATTCGAATCGGGGGGAAGCGTCCCTTAATGTAGTGGGGCAGGACCAAAATGCATGGGCGTTCCGTGGCGCAGGTGGCTCTGCAGCGGTTAGACTCAAATCGCCAGTGGCTTTCATCCAAGTCTTATGTTTCACATAGTGTGAAATGGCCCCAAAGTAACCTGTCCCATTAGCACAACCTGCTGCAATTACAGATTACAGTCAGTACCTGGTACCTTGACTCCCTCTCCGAAAGGGAGAAGGGATTTGTGGCTTTATTAACAGAAAACACCCAGCTCAGATAGCATGGAGATACCATTTGTCCTAAAAAAAAAAAAAGGAAAAAATAGGGGGCTGGAGCACATGACCTACGAGGGAGGCTGAGGGATTTGGGTTTGTTTAGTCTGCAGAAGAGAAGAGCGAGGGGGGATTTGAGAGCAGCCTTCAACTTCCTGAAGGGGGGTTCCAAAGAGGCTGGAGAGAGGCTGTTCACAGTAGTGACGGATGGCAGAACAAGGAGCAATGGGCTCAGGTTGCAGTGGGGAAGGTCTAGGTTGGACATTAGGAAAAATTATTTTCCTAGAAGGGTGGTGAAGCACTGTTGGGGGTGGGGAAGCCCTGGGATGGGTCCTTAGGGAGGGGGTGGAATCTCCAGCCCTAGAGGTGTTTAAATCCTGGTTTGACACAGCCCTGGCTGGGATGATGGAGTCGGGTTGGTCCTGCCTTGGCCAGGGGGCTGGACTCGGTGTCTCTCAGGTCTCTGCCCGCCCGGGGATTCTAGGATTCTATGATTCTATCACAGAAGAGCTTTTCCAGATGCCCGGAAAATGGTCTGCAGGACGTACAGTGACTGCGAGGTGTGTGAACAAGGGTCTTATGGAGCAGGAGCTGTTGGTTAGTGAGAGCTGTTTGTACTCGTGCAATGTCACCGTTTCTCACCGGTCGGTTGGAGGAAGGATATTTGTGAGGACTAGAAGCCAAGGCAGTGGGATGGACTTCAGGGTGTTGTGACAAGTCTTCTAGCCCTATCAGGTCCCTGAGCAAGCTCCTCCCCCAAACAGGTGCACGTTACTCGACCACAGAATCGACTCCAGCCAGGGTTCCTATTTGTCACACTCAAGCCTCACAAACCCCACGGAAACCTGTTAGTTCTGGGATGATATTGATGCAAATCTTCACATTACGGCTCACCTATTTCATATGTTATTGATAGGTAAGCCCGAGAGTGACTCCTAGGCAAGGGGGTTCGGATTGCTGGCAATTGCTTTGCCCCTGAAATTTACATTCAGCATCCTCTTAGCTTCAGAACAGCTGAGACGGAAAGTTGATGACAGACGGAATCTTGATGAAGGAAGAAGACTTGCAAGGGATCATTCGAGATGGAAGTTCATGCCACACAACACCTGTGGGTATATAATTTATGACCATGGGAATCAGCTGTTCCTTTGATATCAATCATGGGAACTTTCATCTTTTGACCATTCCAACTAATATTTCCCTTGATAGTGTATCAATATCCTCAACGAGTTCTCCAACCTGAGTTTCCAGTCTTCCAGTTTAGGGCAGATCATCAGCTACCTCACTCCCACATCAACCCAAATCAAAGGTCTCTACTGGTGTGGCAACAGTTGTGACAGTTTCCCTGGAAGCACATTACAATCGTTGACCATTGGGCAGAGACTCGGAACAATGCAACCACAGCTGGTTTTAATCTCACCCATATTCACTTTCTACCACTGCATCATTTAGGGGTGTTTTTAAATGCATTCAAAGTGCTCTTTTTATCCTAAAGAGTGAGTCCTAAGGAACAACTTCATGAGAATATTATAACAAAAATACTTTGTGTGGGGACCATGAATTTTCTCCATTATTGGGAAAAACAATTTAGAACTTGAGATGTGAATATTTTATGTTTGAGAAACTACTGTCTAAGCAGTTGTAGAAGGCAACAGTTCTGGTTCAGAAACAGTCGCCGTTGTTTGCATATGTAGATATGATCATTACGCATACGCCGTACAGCTACAAGTTATCACCGCTCCTATTGTTTCTCCATTTCAACGTCTTCTTATGTTAGCCACAAAACACTACACTGTGCGGGCTTCTTTAATACACCTGTCGAGTGTGATTAAATAATGATGTAGCCTTGGGTTGCAAGGAAAGAATAAAATGCTTCACACCTTTTGGAAATGTTGGTTGAGATTTACTCCCCAGAGGGGCACATGTGGCAGCATGAAGGGGAAGAGGAAATCTGTGAAAGGTTGCGATGCTTGGCATTCACACCTGGGGCCTGATCACCCAAGGAGCAAAGCTGTGCAAAGCAGAGCTAATGATCCAGCGACATCCAAAGTGTCACTCGCTCTGGCCCCCTCTGCGTTTCCCATTGCCCTGTTTATTGGCTCGAGGAACGAGCCTGAAGCTGAAAACGAGATATGGTTATGTAAATGCGGGGCAGTGACCAAGTCCACATCAGAGGCACCATGCCCTGCATCCAAATTCAGAGCAGCTGGCAGCGGAAGTCAGACAAGCACCTAACAAATGCTGTTACTGCAGCGACTGTCTGGGGGAATTCCTGCCCTGCCTCTGCTTTTACCTTGCTGGCACCAATGGGCCTATGCTTAGGAGGGGTTCGAGGCAAACCTGCCTACGTTTATAAACAAACAACCGGTAGATTCTAATTGACGGGAATTTGCATCAGTTGAGAGACATGTTGCTTGTCTGTCCTACTCCTATGCACACCGTGCTACTCAGCTAGCAGTCCTTCCCCGCCCACTGTCAGTCCATCCCCTTTCAAACCCTCTGCTCAGTACAGGCACGTTCCTCCGGATGCCAGCTACCCCCACTCACTCACGCACAGTCGCACAGCTTGTGTGCATGCTCACACACACACACACACACTGCATGCATAGTCGCTCAGCCTGTGTGCATGCTCACACACACACACACACACACACACACTGCATGCACAGTCGCTCATTCTGTGTGCATGCACACACACACTAGGGTTGCCATATTTGAACTTTCGAAAAAGAGGACACCGGCTGCTCCACTTGCACAGGCGGCCGGGCTCGGGAGCTGGCAAACTCGTCCCCGCGCACGCCAAGCTCGGGGCTCTGACTGCCACCTTGCTGCTGCTGGGGCTGCCGCTGCCCCTGCTGGCTCCCATGGTGCAAGGAGATGCCGCTTCCACGCCACACCACCTTGAGAAGCGTGGTTGCACGGGCTCCAGTGGCACCGCCAACCAGCTGGCAGTCCAGGCTGCTGCAGAGCTTACTGAAATATAAGTGCAATCAGTGTGAAGTTAAAGGCACCGAGCGGAGAAGTGGCATGGCTAGAAAAGGAACCCAGGAATCCCGGCTTCCAGAATCCCTTCCTTTCCCCTGGCCGCCCCACCAAGCACCAGCTCCCACGGGCCCCTCAGAGCTGAGACTGGAACCCCCCAATCT